TCCGATTGGCAACTTTATCATTCACATCTAAAAAAAAGTTTTGACACGATGTGTCTAGAACCCGTGACATCCGCATTACACCTATTACACTAACATCTTAGCTATCTAGGCTCTGAGATTCGTCGTATTTTTATGTCTATATTTTACTTTTAGTCTGTGTAAGAAACTTCGTTTACGCGAATATGCCCTAGTATTATTTCAAATTAAATATTATGCCAAAATAGCCAATACCATAGTTAAACAAACAAAGATTTATATAAAATAATAAAGAGATGAAATTGTTTAGTACATCTAGATAGAGCTAGATTGTAAATGTAGCATTTACGTTAAGTCTATGTAGCCTTTACGTAAAGTCTACTTATTCTTTTTCCGTAGCTCTACCCTAGTTTCTAGATCTAGAACCTAGAGATTGACAAATCCCATTTATTCTCGAATTAGATGATCCCTGAAGTTAAAAAGCAAAGCTTTATATCAAATATTTAAGGACTAGCATAGTTTACAAAAGAAACTCAAACATTTATTGTGGTTTTATAATGGTTTTTATTTTTAACTAATTAATTTTGGTTTGACCTACATTCTATATTTTAGATCTAGGATTGACTTTCTCTACGTCCGAGAGCTGATCTGTAGATCTAGAGAAAATAATTGTATATTCAAATTAGAATAGCCATTGAAATTTGATAATAGTGTTGATACCTAATAGAATTAGCAAACGTTACAGCTATAGCTGACAGAAAATTAGCTTTATTATGCGTTAAACTTTTGAATGGGCAACAAAATCTTCGATGGAAGCCGCCATTATTGTTATAAAAGTAAATAAATCATGTGATGTCACTATAAGTAAAGTCATTGTTCTGAACTTTTATAATTAATGTGGTTAATATATCAATGAATATATCAGTAAATTAATTAACGTCTTTAAATTAATTTGTGATTAACAGTTTTGGTCAAATAGAACATTGTTCTCTACATAAATACTATTTTACAGCTCTACACATAGTGCAGATTCTTTCTTGTAACCAAACAGACAAACCCAAACCCTAACCCTAATTAAAAGTATTTTAATGCAAGGAAAGTAAAGGCGGCTGGGCTTAGTATTGACCACACCATCCTTTAAATGCTTAAGTCACAAATATATGAACTGTAATTCATCTACCCTACGGCTCTTTAGGGTTTACGCCCCCCTATTTAATCGAACGCACGTAATATACAGATGGGTTCTTAATAAATAGTTCTTTCATTACGGGAAGGTAATACTAATAGCCTTGCATCTCCACTCAACGGTACTATAAGTAAAAACCTTCTAAAGCTAAAGGGGGGGGGGGGGGGTGGTGGGTGGGTGGTGGAAGGTTGATGGTATGACGTGACAGTTGGCAAACTTTGGCCAACTCTCACTGCTTAAGCCACAACCCAGTAAATTAGACGCCACTTAAATCTAACGTGGCGCCTCGAACGGCAACCTACAATGGTAATCTAATATTGGAATATTTGCTTTGCCATATCTACACTGTTTGAACTGTTTGCTTACAACAGCGATTCTCACTATTTTTCCAATGCGCACAGTATGATTAAGTTTAACGTTTACATTCACCAACAGAGAAAGTGTTTATAAGCTACTTTAATGCTCTTATTCTAAAAGTAATTGTATTTTTAGATTTAGCATTTTAATAAGACAAAGTAAAGATCATATGTTCAGAGATATCCGAACACGTTTAGTCTGAAAAAGTAACTCACATTAAAGCGAGACACATATGAATCTCTAGATGATGTTTTACAACGCAATCCGATTTAAAATAAGCACTTAAAAATAAATAAAAAACTCCAAACACAAACCATTCCAAAAACATGCTAGCTCCTTATCAGGAGATGAATTAACTCAACCTTGTAAACTTTAACTTTAACCTGAGCACTTAAGTAAAGAAAACAAACACTAAACTAGTTGATATTTAACCAAAACGTATCTGTTTCGTCCATATTTTTGCTGAGTGGTATCCCAATAGTACCGACACATACCCCTAGATTTCAACAAACACGCAACCTCTGTTGTGTGAAAAAAATGAGGTTACGTTTGAAGATTTGACAAATATGGACATTTACTTCCCCATTCCGCAACTTCAATACGTTTTAATGTAAAACCGACTATCGGCGAACTAATCATTTTTTTCAGTGATATAAGTGCGTATGTGGAAATTTGGATATGGTGTGACACTTTACATAGTAGATAGTTCTTATACTGTTCAATCACTGGGTGAGTACCAAACAGCTTGCAATAAACAACTTAAATACAGAAAATAAAAATTGTTAAAGTTCTAAGTAGCAATAATTATAAAAAAAGCAGTGACTAAACTAGTAAAAAGCCTCCCCCCCAAACAAAAAAGTTTTTTGCCCATATATTAATATATATATATATATATATATATATATATATATATATATATATATATATATATATATATATATATATATGTATATATATATATATATATATATATATATATATATATATATATATATATATATATATATATATATATATATATATATATATATATATATATATATATTAGCCGCCTGGCCAGGCCCTGCACTGGCCTCTGAAAAACCTATCTGTAAAGGACCACGATATGTGTGTTTAGTAATGGCCATATACCCCGCATTGCCCAGCCTAACCACAACCAACCAAAACCAAAACACAAAAAAAACGCATATATTTACAAATACAAACACAAACGAAAACACAAACGCAAACGCAAGCCCAACCACAAACGTAAACCCATCACAAACACAAAGAAAACACAAACGTAAACATAAACTCAAAGTGCTCACAGTCTAGCCCAGGAAGCGGAAGCGATTGTTTCAGCTAGGTAAACGACTATTGCACCCCAATTTATTCATAGTCTTTTGCACTCACTTAAACGAACGTAGGCATCATAGCAAACACGTGAAGGCCCGGTGCGCCAAATAGCACACTGTTGGGGTGCCGGAGAACGCGCGGATTTGATTCACGTAAAAGCTATAATGACCTTTTCTATCCATAGTCTAGAGACTTTTTAAAAACGAAATTATGCGCCATAGCACTCATAGGATGGCACAGAGCACGAAATCGAATCCTGCCGGGGCGAGGGCGGGCGCGCCTGTTTAAATTTAGTGAACAATTACAATACCCCAACTTATACACAAACGAAAAGATGTCACAGAGGACATTTTGGAGCTGGCTTCTTAACTGTTATTGATTTTTAAAAATATTTGCGGTGATAGAAATTTTGAAGTTAAAAACATAAGCATAGCTCTTAAAAGAAATAGTTTCTTCGATGTTGTATTTACAATCGAGAACGTAGTAAAACTTTACACTGCTAAATGTACTGTTCAAACGTCTGCTTAAAAAAAAGTACGCACTATGGTAAGGTAAAAGAAAAAGAGGATCAACCTTTATCATGTTTAGTGCGACAGACGAAAACAAATTTCCCTTCATGCACAAAAAAGTAGACAGATGATAACCTGCAGGAATTCCCGTTCCCGAAAAAAAATGTCTTTTGTTACTTCAACTGTCTTTGAATAAAAATAATAATAAGTAAACAGTACGTTCAGTGTATAAAATAATTAAAAGGCGGTATTCAAAATACCTACCCAATCTCACTTGATCAATCCACGCTAATTAGGTAAATTATTTTACCCAACACCAAAACATCTTAATAAAAGGTACATTTTTTCCCCCGATGTAATGTTTTTTTTTATAAAGGGAAGGAATTGCGTTTTCTTAATCTATCAACGGACGTATGGAGTCCTTAAGAACTAAATTTTTTGTGTGAAAGATAATACATTTAAAAAAAATGTTTAATGGACATGTCAACAATTATATATATATATATATATATATATATATATATATATATATATATATATATATATATATATATATATATATATATATATATATATATATATATGACGCAACCATTTGAGGCTTTTTTTCGTTGTAAGAACAGGTGACCAACTTGTTAAGAATATTTGATCGTGACAGATGTTTACTCAACTTCAAACAAAGTCTCGCGTTTATTTAAAAAATGTATTCAAGCGGCGAATTATTAGCAGCCTCACATAAAGAAAATATCGAAGTGGTTAAATCACTCCTGCTAAATGGAGTTTCGATAAACTGCAGAGATGTAAAAGGAAACACCCCTTTATTGAATGCAGTTTATTACCGTCATGTTCGCATTGTCAAATTCCTACTCGGCTACAAAGAAATAGATGTGAATATTGCGAATAATGAAGGAAAAACAGCCATTATGTTGGTCGCAAACCAAGGATGGACAGACATTTTACAGATGTTGAGAAAGCTCGGGGCAAACATTAATCATAAGGATAACAAAAAACAAAGTGCTCTATTTCTTGCAGTAAGAGGCGGTCATAAAAATGCTGTGAAATGGTTACTGAAGCATTCGGCTGAAGTAAATGAGTTGGATGAAAACGTACAATCTCCATTACATATCGCAGCATCTGCTGATAGATGTGGTATAAGTAAAATGTTGATAAATAAAGGTGCTGAGGTTAACTTACAAGACGGAGAAGGAAACACGGCTATCATGGTTGCGTCTCAAAGAGGATGTGTTAAAACATTTAAGCTACTTTTGAAAAGCGGAGCGTTTGTCAGAAAACGTAATAAGCAAAAGTGGAGTGCATTAATGTTAGCATCGCACAATGGCTTTACAAATATTGTTGAAATAATTTTGAAGAAATTTCATAACAAAACTGAAAACGATGTTTTTGTGTACAAGGCATTATTAATCGCTTCAAAACAAGATCATTATGAAATTGTTAGGTTAATATTTAAATATAATTCAGTTACGCTTGACTGCGGCAATGGAAGTACCAATAAATACAGTGCATTGATGATAGCTTCGGGAAAAGGACACCAAATGACAATGTACACATTAATCAGATACGGCGCCAATGTAAATTTTATCAAAGACAACTACACTGCTTTGATTGTCGCCTCGAAAATGTCTCAGCTGAACGCCGTACAGATGCTTTTGGATAATAAAGCAGATGTCGATCAAGCAGGTCCGAAAGGAAACACAGCATTGTTCTATGCCTCGAAACGGGGGAACACAAAAATTGTACAGACATTGCTTAGATATGGTGCAAACATTAATCACTGTAACTGCTCTGGCATGACTGCACTAATGGTAGCTTGCACAAAAAATAAAACCAATGTTATTGATTGTTTATTGACTAAAGAAGCTAAAATTAACTCTGTTGACCCATATGGTACTACAGCTCTGATTTTCGCCGTCATTTATAAAAGTACAGAGGCCATACAAATATTACTGAAATGGAAGGCAAAAGTTAACATTAAAACATACTATGGGGCTACAGCTCTAAGAATAGCTGCGAAATCAGGATTTCTTAAAGGGGTTGGTCTACTTTTACAGAATTATGCAAAAGTTAATTGCACTGACGAACAAGGTCGCTCCGCATTACACTTTGCAGTTACCAAAGGACATTTGAAAACAGCGAAAATTTTACTTAATAACGGTGCGAATATTAACCAACCAAGAAATGATGGACTGACTCCATTAATGATAGCGACAAAGAAAGATAATTCTAGACTGGTTAAATTATTGTTGAATATGAAGGCCGATAGAGACATTGTCACTCCCCAAGGAGAAACCGCCCTGTCTATAGCAAAAGCAAACAGATTTTTAAAAATATTTGATTTGCTTGAAGGCAAAGAATCTAAATCTAGGCCAGTGTTCGACATTCCAGGTACAGTTGTTGATCATACAAACTCTTCATTCGACTCAGAGGATTCAGATGAAGGTAAACATATTTATTTTCCAAAATAATAAGGGTATGGCAAGGAGCCACAAATATTGCATAAATAGCTACAAGACATTGAAATTCAAGTTAAACCTGTAAGCAAAAGATTCAATGTAATTTGCATTCGGCAAAAGCGCCAAGATTTTTTTCGATTGATAATGAATATTGCTGTGGACTTTTTTTTACAAAGTGCTTTTTAAAATAGGTCATCATGCATGCTTATAATTTCAGATGAACCATCGTCCTCGACAAGACGGGTTTTAAATAAAGATGATGTACTAAGAAGGTATATTTACTTACGTTTTGTAATATTATGGACATATCAAGTGCATCCTAGAAATGCAACTAAGCCATTAATTAGTCGCTAAGGTAATAACAATTGAAAAAAAACCCGCAAAGTATTATTACTTTAAAAAGCATCTCATGTTATTATTGAATAAGTAAGAGTTTAAATATGATTTCCACTTCAGAAAAAGCGACATAGGGCAACACAGACTACCAGGACAAAATTTCGAAACATGGAGCATTAATTCAAACATTTCAGTTACAAGTATTGGTAAGATTTTCTTTAGATTTGTCCTTTTAAAAGAAAGTTACAAAAAAGTAACTCATAAATATCTACAAATATGGATGCAAATTTATTTTTATGAAATTTTAGAAAGATAGTAAAAAAGTAATACTCAATTTCAGATTTGGCATTGGATCACAATGTTGTAATATTTGGGAAAAATATATAACAAATAACAAAAAAGGCTACTTGTTGTTTCAGATTCTCAGCTACCATCATCAGCTCAAGACAACTGGCCCTCTTACATCTCTGTTAAAAATGATAAAAGGTCTGTAATTTTTAAATTTCTAATTATTGTTTTTTTCTATTTCAACTTTACATAATAATTAATGAGTGTAATTGTATCGAAGCGAAACTATGGTTTATCATTGTGATACAATGAGAGTTGAATTGCAATATAACAATTCATTGTTTCTGTATATTTCATCACACCTCTAGATGTAATTCAAAACATTCCGTAGAAAGGCCTGTTGTTTGAAATTTAATGTAACCTCTCCTGTTTTGGCTTGTATGTTAAAAGTAAGTTAAAGATGCGTATTCATTATAAAATTTATAAAATTTGAAATACCTATACAAATTCCAAGGTATATTATTCTAATATTTTGAAGGAAAATTTGCATTAAATTACTTCAAGTAAAAGAAAGCTACAATTTTAAAAATGCATAAGAAACGCTTTGATAAAAAGCTTTTATGTAATGATGAACTAAAATGGAGAGAATAAATAATTTTCCAAAATATGTAATAATACATTATTATTTAAATAACTATAAAGAAAAGCGTTGGTCACTATATTATTTATTGGATACCTTTACTAATAATTAGGAAGAGACCCAAACTTTTTTATATAGTTATGAATACTTTACTCTCCTTTTTAATACATTATTATCAAAACGTTTTAATTGCATTTTTTTCAGTATTTTAGATTTCAATACAATAGTTTCAAAACTAAAAACTAGTGCACACCAAATGAACATAAAAATGATCGTCTAATAGTGCGGAATAATAGTAGGTCCCCCTACTTTATTTAGAAAATTGTAATTTATTCGTAAAAAATACTTTGTTATCCAGTTCAGTGAAATTTCTGTCAGCTTGACTTGTCATGGGGTCTTGACCCAAGTGCCAAGTTTGAAACGGTCTTATAGAAGGACTCAAATTATCGCTCGGCAGTTTCAGTCAATGACTGACGACACACAAAAGCACGACTGACAGATGTAGTAAGTTACATAAAAAGCTTGTAAAAAAAACTTAAAACAACGCAAAACAGTAACAGTTTGTAGTTAAATCCATATTTGATCGAGACTGGACATGCAAAGCGCCTCCAACCTAAAGTTTTGTTTTTAACTTTCCTAGCGTTTTTTTTGGTAGCATGGGCCAATTTCTTGTGCTGTTTTACATTGTCATATTGTTGTCCTTGTTATACTATTTTATTGGTTCCAAATTGTTTTTTTTCTATCTCTATTGTTGTTAAGTGTTATGTTATTTAATTCAATACCAAAAGTAGCGTTCCAATATATAAATCTGGTTTTATGATTAAGGAATTGCAGTACATGTGTATAACAAACATCTTAAATATTTCGACATTAGAAAAAAAGTCGCTTATGAAATTCTGTTCTAAAATGCAAAATCAAAACATTTTCAGAATTTATTATTATTTTTTTTCAGAAGACGTACTCGAAGCGAACCGAATTTACGTACAGTAAAGAACTCAAGAATGAAGCACCCATATAATGTTCAGTATGTGTAAGATTTTACGTTCTAAACACTTTTTAGTCGCCCTCCCCCAGTTAGCAACGTTTATTATTTCGAGTCAACAATATATTTAAAATCTTAATTATTTACCAAAATCGTTACTATAGATATTTACTTTTGTTACGATTTTGTTATTAAATACTTAGAATACAGTAAGGGTGGAGGAGGTGGGGGGGGGAGTGTGGGAGAGAAGTCAGCTTATATGCTTAACTAAAATGTATGTTCTCTTACAATTTTTAGAGTATTAAAGCAAGTCTTTTCATTGCATGTTGTGTTTTCATACTATGATATGTAGCATTTTTTTTCATAGTCACGAACCTACACAATTGTGGTTTTACATGTTTTTTTTCATATGCAAAGACTATTGTCAGAGCAGTGTGCAACCAAAAATATAAACAATGCCGGCGCCAGGTTATTTAGCGCTCTAGGCAAAATTTATTAAAATGCCCCACCGCATCTCCCGCTATTTTTTTTTCGGGCTCCCATATTAAATATCTTATATATATATATATATATATAT